GGCTTCCCTGTCCATCACCAACTCCGGGAGTTTGCTCAAACTCATGTCTATCAAGTCAGTGATGCCATCCAACCATCTCATCTCTGTTGTCCCCTTCTCCTCCTGCCTTCAATCTTTCCCAGCATCAGGGTCTTTTCCACGAAGTCACTTCACATCATGTGGCCAAAGTACTGAAGCTTCAGCTTTAGCATCAGTCCTTCCAATGGATATTCAGAACTGATTTCCTTTAGGATGGACTGGTTGGATCTCCTTGCAGTCCAAGGGACTCTCCAAGAGTCTTCTCCAACACCACAGTTCAAAAGCATCAATTATTTGGCGCTCACTTTCTTTATGGTCCAACTCTCAAATCCATATGTGGTTACTGGAAAAACCATAGTTTTGACTTAGACAGACCTTTGTTGGCAAAGTAATGTCTCTGCTTTTTAATATGCTGTGTAGGTTGGTGATAGCTTTTCTTCCAAGGAGCAAGTGTCTTTTAATTTCACGACTTTTTAAATAAAAAGCTTATTTTCATGGCTAATTAAAATCACTAAAATACATCATTAATATCATCACCATACATAGTTGTGAAAATTTTTTTCTTATGATGAGAACATTTAAGATTTACTCTCAAAAATTAAAAATTAAAAATATTTACTTTCTTAGCAACTTTCAAATATGTAATTCTGTATTATTAACTATAGTACCATCTGTACTTGCTTCCACACACCAGTGGTAAAGGGCAGGGATTAGAAACAGATAAACCATAATAAAGCTGTAAATTTGATAAACACAGTAAAGCAGAGACAAATGTTGTTCACAAGGAAGAGTAACTTTGGAGGGAAAAACAAAATAGGAAATGCAATGAGGGAAATTTTCCTAAGTGATGTATCATTGAACTGTGTCTCAGTGATGTAAACGAAAGGCCAGCAAGATGTCTGTGCCTGATGCAGTTTTCAGCACAGAGAAGTAAAGCGTATGGATTCCATCCTATTGCTTCTATTTGGTTCACTTTTCTCTATTTTTTCTAATATTTTACTTTCTTACAATAATTAAAAGGACATACTTTATACAGATCATTGCCTTTTTTAACTGGGGGCTTCCCTGTTGGCTCCGATGGTAGAGAATATGCATATAATGCAGGAGACCAGTTTCAGTCGTCCGGAAAGATCCCCTGGACAAGGAAATGGCTACCCACTCTAATATTCTTGCCTGGAGAATTCCATGGACAGAGGAGCCTGACTGGTTACAGTCCATGGGGTTGCAAAGAGTCAGATAGGACAGAGCAACTAACGCTTTATTTAATTATATTGAGCCAGTCTTATGTCTTCCATAAATCAGGTGACTGAATATATGTCACTCTGTATTGGGACACTATTCGGTTATGTTGCTCTGTTTTTGTGGCACTATGACACCATCTTAATTATTATAATTTCAATAGTATTTTACTATCTGATTGTGTAAATCCTCCAAGTTTATTTTTTAATATTTTTTTAATTTATTTATTATTTGTTTGGCTGCACCAAGTCTTATTTGCAGCATGTGGGATCTAAGTTCCCTGACCAGGGGTTGAAACCAGGCCCCCTACATTGGGAGCTCAGAGTCTTGGCCACTGGACCACCAGGGAAGTCTCCCTCCAAATTTATTCTTCAGAAATACCCTATTTTTTGGCTTTTTGCTACATGTCATTTAGAATTGCTTTGTCAGTTTTCTCTCTCTCTCACACACACACATCTTCTGGATTGTCCTGGAAAATGCATTGACTATACAATCCATCCAGAGAGAACTTGCATTTCCAATAATATTGAGCCTTTCAATCAATTCATAAATATGACTTTTCTCTTCATACATTTATTATCTTGTAGTTATCTACAGATAACTTGCATATCTTACATTAGATTTCTTCATAGGTATTTAGTGTTGGAAATTATGATAAAAGTTATTTAATTTTATGTTTCTCTTATAAAAATTGCTTTTGGAATATTGACTTTGTAAAAGGCACCTTGCTAAATTCATCTAGTCTAATATTTGTAGATATTTAGGGTTTTTTCCCAAACAAAATTGGGCTGTCTATAAATAATAGTTGATAATTTTCTTTTCTACATTTTTAAATTGTTTTCAGTCATGCCATGCAGCATATGCAATCTTAGCTCTCTTACAAGGGATGGAGTCCATGTCCCCTGCAGTGAAAGCACAGAGTCCTAACCACTGGACCACCATGGAAGTCCTTGATACATTTTCTGATCTTATGTAACTGGCTGGATACCAGTCATATGTTGTATAGAGTTGACAATGGACTTCCACCTCTCAATCCCAAGAATAAAACTGTTAAGAATAATTTTTGTTGTACTTTTAAACGTAATTTTTGTTGTAGTTATTTTGTAATTATTTTATCACAGTGAAAGTGTCCTTCTATTCCTAGCTTAGCAAGTGTCTTTCTTAGGATTGAGTACTGACTTTTATTAAACATATTCAATGTATCTGCTTATGTGGTAGTATGTTCTCTCAGTTCTACTAATGTGGTATTTTTGAAATTATGTGGCTTTTTGAAATTTAACCCAAAATGAATGCAGAACATAGAATTCATCTACACATAATATACTTTCTTTACACATGACTTGGTTTCATTTGCAGATATTTAGTTAAGGATTTTTACATCTATACTCATATAAATTACTGGACAGTAGTCATCCTTACTTTAATGCACTTGTAAAGTTTCATGATCAGGAAGGTTCATTAATTAAAATAGGAATGTCTCCTCTCTCCCTATGCTCTGTGAGAATTTGTGTATTATTAGAGTTATTACTTTCTTAAGTTTCTCAAAATTTACCTATGAAGTTATCTGAGCCTGAAATGTATGCTTTCTTTTTTAATTATACTGGTGATATATATAATTAGATACAAATCTCCTGTTTCTATTGTATAACCTTTAAGCATCCAACACTATCAACAAATGCAGCATTTATGCAACATTTGATTGTTACCTAAATAGTGAGATAAGAAAATAATAGGAAAACTTATAAAATATTATTTATAAATGTCCTGATGTTGTTTTAAAGCAGATCTCCAGAAACAAAGGACATCAAGAACTAAATCCTGGCAGCTGAATCTATAAGAAGCATTGCCAAGAATGGATTTAGGTTTCAGAGCATCATTTCAGTGTGAACGATGCAAGGATGACCCAAAGTCAGCAAATACAGACTTTATCCCCAGGCAAGGACCCACACTGCAAACAGCAGGGGATATCTCTAAGTTGCAGAACACTCAGCCTGGCTTATTGCAAAATGGCAATAACTCATGTGCAAGGCAGGAACTGCAAAGACTCTATAAGTCATTTCATTTATGGCTGCAGCCAGAAAAACACAGCAAGGATGAAATTATTTTTCAACTTGCCCTGGAACAATTTATGATCAATAAGCACTACAGTGAAAAGTCTACTTTGAAAGAGAAATGGGAAGCAAGTGGTGGAGACCTGGAGAAATTCACAGAAGATCTGCATGATGACTGCATGAAGTTACCTGACTTGGTAAGTGGAGCGTTCTGACCTCTGGGATGAGGGGCAGAAAGGAGTAAGGAATAAATAATATATTCAGTTGTCAGTGCCTGGAAGAAGAGAAAGAAGAGGTACTGTAGACCAGTTATTAGTCAGATCACTCTTCCTCACCCAGACAAATATTTACTACCCCATGTGAGCAAGAATCAACATTTTATGCGTTTGTTCAGTGAGGCATATAGGAACCAACATATTAATTAGTGGAATTGATTTTCACTGGTGAAGTGCCAAGAGGACCCCACTGAGAAAATGTCAATTGGGCAGAAACCCCGGGATGAGAAATGCCTTGACAAGAGCTAGTTCTTCCCTCAGAAAGCCTTGTTATTGTTCACTCAGTTGTGTCTGACTCTTTGTGACCCCACGGGCTGCAGCAGGCCAGGCTTCCCTCCCTCCACTATCTCCTGGAGCTTGCTCAAATCCATGTCCATTGAGTCGGTTATGCCATCCAACCATGTCATCCTCTGTCGCCCCCTTTTCCTTTTGCCTTCAACCTTCTCCAGCATCAAGGTCTTTCCTAATGAGTTAGCTCTTTGCATCAAGTGGCCAAAGTACTGGAGTTTCAGCTTCAGCTTTAATCCTTCCAGTGAATATTCAGGGTTGATTGCCTTGAGGATTGACTAGTTTGATCTCCTTGAAGTCCAAGGGACTCTCAGTATTCATCTTTTTTCATTATGGAAGACACACTAAAAAAGAAATTACCACGAAATTTGATAGAAGCAGAAACAGGGCAGGACAAAGAGGTGTGGGAGCCCACAGTACAAGATACTGGGAAAGCCTGACTGAGGCGGGCTTTCCAAAACCAGCTTTATCACATAGTAGATCCATGTGTGAATAATCACGCCTTTTTTTTTTTAATAGGTCCATGTCCACATGCAGGGGCAGGAAGCCCTCTTTTCAGAAAATATGCCCTTAAAAGAAATCATCTTTCATCTAACCAATCAGTTGTCGACAGGAGGGGTGAACATGAGGACTCCATCCCGGACTATGCAAGATACGTCCCTAGAAACAGGACAGAGTGAGTGGGCAGAGCCCAGGTCCCAGAGGGGTGGCCCGTGTGGGCTCTTTCTTGGGTGCAACTTCACTGAGTCACTTTTTCACCCCCTACAGGAAATGAAGATAAAGAAAATGATGGCAATATTTCTGTGAAAACTCATCAAGTAAATGACAGTATTACTAGTCCAAGCAATCAAATACCTTCCCTACTCATTGTCCAAGAAGAGAACCGTCCGAGGCTGGAAGAAGGAGGCGTTTCTCTGGAGAATCCACGAAGCTCCAGAAGAGGAGCAAGTCCAGGCCCCTTCAGGCTTCAGAACAGATTCCTGAAAGGACCCTCTTCTCAAGATGTCCTCATGGAGGTGGGACCAGACCAGGTCACCCCTGAGCCTGTTTCTACCCGTCAGAGCTCTGAGGGGCCTTCTGCACGTGGGGGACACCAGGAAAGATCCCATAGAGCCCCAGAAGTATACAGATGTGAGAGATGTCCCAAGACCTTCACGTATTCCTCTCGGTTCAGAGTTCACCAGAAAAGACACAATAATGAGAGGACATATATTTGTGCCGAGTGTGGCAAAGGCTTCTTCCAGGCATCAGACCTCCACGTGCATCAGAGGATTCATACAGGAGAGAAGCCCTTCGCGTGCAGCACATGTGAAATGGCCTTCACCCACAAAACCAACCTTCGGGCTCATGAGAGAACCCACACGGGAGAGAAGCCCTATGAGTGTTCCCTCTGCCAGAGATGCTTCCGCCAGTCCTCCACCTACCACCGCCATCTTAGGTTTCACCAGAAAACTACCCTCAAAAGTGCTCCACACTAAATTAAGCTTTCTAGGCTACAGCCCCAATGTAATGGATATAAATATGTATGTGAATATGTAGATTTCCATAGTATTTCTCCATTTAGATTATACTTTATAATTTCCTCATGTTATTCCCATTGTCTCACACCACCCAAATATAAGTTTAAGGAAGACATGTAGTTTCTCAGTATTTTTCACTAACTTTTCCCAGGTGCTTTGAAATGGCTGACATATTTCAAACAACTAGTAAATACCTGTTTAGTACATGAATTTATCTTTAAGATTGGTGCTATTTTTAAAATTTAGCCCCACATGAGAAGACAATGAGTTCCCATGCCAGGATACATGATCCCCTGCTCATAGTGATACACTGAAGCTTTTGCTGCCTGCTACCTTGTTCTCTGTCCACACCCTTTATCTTGTGGGCTTCAGCTTTTCAGAAACTGTGAATCGGGGGAGATCTGGGTCCCTCTGAGGATATCAGATGTTATTGTCCTCCCAGGCCTCAACCTTCCCCTGAAGCTCAATATGTTCTTGGCCTCCTTTCTTTTTTTATTTTTTGCCTCCTTTCTTAATCAACAGAAATTGATCAGAGGCCAGAAAAGAAATTCAGGCAAGGCTTTATTGAGGTCCCTGCTGCAGCAGAGGGGAGCAAAAACAAATAATATGTTCCCTTGTTTGCTTGCTCCCCAAGGTGGGGCTCAGCACCCTACTTTTGCTCCTGACCCTCTACTTTTGCTCCAGGCTCTTCAAAAGTGGCAGTTAGGGACTTCTCTGGTGGTTCAGTGGTGGAAAATGAGCCTGCCAATGCAGGAGACACAGGTTGGATTCCTGATACAGGAAGATCCCACATGCTGCAGGGCAACAAAGTCCCTGCGCCACAACTATTCAGCCTGTGCTACAGAGCCCTGTAACTGCAACTACTGGACTGGTATGCTGAAGCTACTGAAGCCTGAATGCTCTAGAGGCTATGCTCCACAGCGGGAGAGGCCATCACAATTAGAAATCCATGCGCCACAGCTAGAGAGTGGCCCCCACTCACCGCAACGACAGAAAAAGCCCATGGAGCAATGAAGATTCAGCACAAATTAGTAAAAAATAAGTAAAAAAATCCAAATGCAAAAGAATGAAATTGGACCCCCAAGCTAACACCAGATACAAAAATTAACTTGAAACGGATCAAAGACCTAGATGTTAGAGCTTAACTCTAAAGCTCTTAAAATAAATAAATATTCATGACCTTGGATTAGGTCATGGTATTTTAGATAAGACACCAAAAGCAGAAACAGCAATAGAAAAAATAAACTGGACTTTATGAAAAAAATTTTTTTAAGTGGCAGTTGGATTTTTTGGAGTGGACAGAATTCCCAGCCTGCACAAGCTTGAGTGACTTACTCCAGGTGACACGAAATGTGGGCCATAGATCTGGACATTTCTCTGCTCCAAACAGCCTCATCCCTTGAGTGGCTGGTGCCTGACAGGGAGAATCCCTCCCAGTTCCCTGGAGCAAAATGAAGACTCCCTGGAGCAGTTTCTGGGAACTTGGGAAGGGTCTGCCCCTGGCCGGGATCAACCTGCTGTGGGCACAGAGGTCCTATCTGGGGTGCCATAAATTGTTACTGAAATCGCAAGTCCGTGTGCCTGACACAGAATGAAGCCCATCAATACTAAACATTAGAGTCTTAAACAGAGAAAGGTTTATTACAGATTCGTACAGAGGTGGGTGGCTCATGCCCTAAGAACCCCAAAGTTATTTAAAAGCTTTCAGCAAGTCCCTTTAAAAGCAAGAGGTGAGGGATGGGCATGGTTGGCTGTTGCAGACTTCTCAGTGTCAGATCCTTTGTTCTTGAGGTCCGGTCATGGTCAGGTAATGATGTTCCTGTAAGTCTCTACCAGATGGATGTTATTATCTGTCCTGACAAGAAAGGGCAAAGTCCCAAGGCACAACTGTCACCCTCCAAGGTCCCAGTCCTAGCTAAGAGGAGGCAGATCTCAGTTGGCAGCTCCTTCAGGGCCAGGTTCCCATATCCTGCCTAGCTGTCATCCCTGAGGAAGCCAGGCATCCAACCCAACTGGCCCTCTGTCTGCTCAGGCCACCCAGTGGAAGACCAGGTCTCACAGACTGCAACTCACACAAACAGCCACTGCTATTAGATCCCAGAGAAAGGGATGGGGGAGAGGTTCACCGCTACCTCAAGGGCTGGGCCACGGCTAGTGGAAGGCCTTAATAAGGGCTCTGGAGCTCTCAGGATGTAGACTTCAGTCTGTTCCCTGGGCTCTCCCGCTCACCCACTAGCCCAAGACCTCTCACCCACTAGACCTTCAAGAGAAGGTCTGAATCTGCTTCTTACCTCACTCTCCACGTAATGACCACAGCATCATGGACCTTTGACTGAATCATTTCCCCAGTGGCCCCTCACTGACAATTACCTGTGGGCAGGGCTCAGCAGGACATCTACCAGGGTGCTCATGACAGTTGGTTGCTTGTGGGCGGGGCCCACTGAGGCACTGGCCAATGGCTGAGCAAGACCTGTTGCCTAGTAACAGGGTGCTGGTAACGAAGCACAACATCGGCTACCTGCTAAGGGTTGTGCCCTTCCTGCTCTGTGAGGCTTTCCCTACCTGCGCAGGCAAGCAGTTATTTTTAGTCCCAAATAGAAGTAGCTGCGCTTGATGGAGGCTGAAGAGATTTACTTCTCAACATTCTGGTGATCTACAGACAAGATTCCCAGAAATCAGTCTTTGACCTCTTTTAAAAGGAGTTAAGTTCTTCCTCTGCTCCTGGAAGTTGGCAGCGCCACTTCCCATTGTCCCTGTTGTCGCTCAGTGGTGTCTGACTCTTTGCAACGGACTGCAGCACGCAGCTTTCCCTGTCCTTCAGTGTTTCCCGGAGTTTCTCAAACTCATGCCCATTGTCCCTGGTAGGGCCGGTTTACACTTGTTGCCTGTGGCTGACGCAGCGCGCCCCTTGCCAAAGCCTATAGCGCGGTGGGAACTCTGGGTAATGCGGAGTGTCTGGACCGTGGGCTTGGGGCAGGACTTCCGGCATCACACAGGTGGCGGTCATTGTCTGTTGCTGGGTCTGTACACTCCATCATAGCTTCAAGAGTGTGGTGTCTGGCCGCAGGAAGGCTCGAGAGAAACTTCACCCCCCACCGTCAACTTCACGGAGATATGTCTGAAGGTCAACGATGGTGAATAACAGATGTGCTTGGATCCTGTTCTCCTCCTCCTCCCCTTAGAGATCCCGCTCAACCCACACCTGGGGATGGCAGTCACCGTGTTGAGCAACCCTCGTCATGTAATTCAGGGTTCTCCATGTCCTCACCCCACCTTACCCCCATCCGCGTCCTAAGAATAAGAGGCGCCTAATCAGGTCACTTATTCTGGCCACAAAAACGTTCTTGATCACCATCTTAGAGTCTGCATTAGGAAAAGGCTTTACAAGTCTAGCAAATGTAAGGAAGCTTTTACAGCAAGTGCTCAGGTGTTCGGCTCTAGGCAGTACACACTGGGAAAGACCTTATTTGTAGGATAAGGAATAGGGTAAATCTGTTAGCCAAACTCCCATCTCAGTGACCACTTGGGAGTTCACACTGGAAAAAGGCTTTACGGCTGTGTGGAATGTGGCAAAAATCTTTACATAAATACAAAGCTACAATAGAGCTTGAAAATCAGTGGATACTCATTGAACATTTAATTTTTTATTAAACACTTAATTATTAAAGAATTGAATGAACATGACACCCCAGATTCCTATCCATTTTAAGTTTTTACTGTTTTAAGCCTACTTGGAAAGTCTTAAAACTATACTTCAAAGTATTACTGTATTAAAGAATGAAAAAATAATCAAATTTCTAAGACAAAATCCTGAGTGGACAAAGTTTCCACATAGCCACTGCTCAGATAACTGTCGATTCTCAGACTCAACATGTCCTGTTCAGTTTTCTTTGAGATCTTTTGTTTTTCAATTCTCTGTAGATATGTTGCCAGAGCTATCCAGCCACTATTTTTGAAAAACTGCGTTAACAGCTTTCAGTGATTTTCATTTCACAATGTTTTCTGGAATCATCTCCACTCCCCACGCAGATGCAATCGTTGCAATAACAGTAGGAGTGATCATTGTGTTGACACAAGGATGTAAGAGCAGATAAAACCAAGGAGGGTCTTGAAATTCTGGAATGGAAAAACCAGACCCTTATCATCCTTCCCTCCCCCATGTTGTATCTATTAACGGAACTGTATAACCTGTCTTCCCTCCTACCCCATAAAGAGAAGGTATTTGCCCTACTCTTCCCCCACATATACACGCCTCATCCAATCAGCAAATGACCGGCAAGACCCCTATCCCACTCCTTGTACCCTAGACATAAAAGTGGACTAAGAACCCCTGTTCAACGTCAGTTCTCCCTTGAGCTGGCCCGCTGTTCTAACAAAATCTCCCATTCTAATAAACCTTATTTCCTGCTCATTCTGTCTCATGTTTGGAAATTCTTTTCCAACCTGCACCCAGACTATGACAATAATCAGTTCTCATCAAAGAGATCAGATTTTGGTGACCCCATTTTTTTTGTTGTTTGTTCTTTCCACACTTTTATTTATTTACGTTCGAATGGGTTTAAATCCTTGAGGAGTATAGCATCACACAGATTCTATGTCCACTGGTGTTAGCAAGAAGGTTGCTTAGGAATTTGGAACAAATCATGCCACTGTCTCTGTGAACACGAGATATTTCCCCCCAGATTACTCTGGCTTTGTTCTGTTTTCCATCAGGTGTTGCATTGTTGTTCTTTGCTTTGTACACATGAGCACATCTTTTACCTAGATATTTAGAATTCATTTCGAGCACACATTTTTAAGAAGAGCTGTATGCTCCCTCTGGTTCCAGAGGCTGGGCTTATTTATATCCAGCAAAAACGGCCATGGATCACAGCCTTCCAGATATATGTGTCCTTTCAGAAGTCTTTTTCCCAGCAGGACTCCAAGACTGCTTAAAGAGAAAGGCTGATGTCCCAAACCTCAGGGTTCCGGAATCTTCTTTGCACTTACGGCCCTCATCCTGCGAGTTTACCTGGAGGTCCTGGTAAGCTGCGCTCCTAGCTCAGGCATAGAGCCGGGAGAACTACATTTCCCAGAGGATTCTGCCCCGATCGCCTTCGGCGTTAAGCCGATCAGAATTCAGGAGAAGTGCACTTCCTATGTGAGCATCGCGCTGGGCCGGGACTTCCGGCATCCTCCTGGTGGCGGTCGTTTTGTCGGCCCTTGGGTGCTATCGCCCGGTCTCGGGTTCCGGAGCGGCGAGTGCCGATCGAGAGGGTCCGAAGGGAGACTCTTGCCGCCCCAGGCCCAGGAGAGAAACCGCTCTTCCCGCGTCCCGCCGCCTCTCCAGCCGCTCCTGGCCCCGCTCCTCCCACTGAGTCCGATGGCGGAGGCGGCGCGGAGGGACCCGCCTCAGGTAAACGCTGGTCCTCAGGGCCCGCACCGCCCTCATCCCACCAGACACTAAAGCCCCGAGTGTTCACGTGCCGGCAGCCCAGGCGCCGGGGTCCAGGACGGTGAGGTGGCTGTGGGCGGGATCTTGTGACTGACTGATGGCTCCTGGGAGAGGGTGACAGGTGGAGGGACCCCACCTGTCGGTGGGAAGTTTGGAGTTAAAATACTTTGGTTTCTGGAAGCGGAGAGGCCCCTGCACGCCAGGCCCAGAGCTTAGCGATCATCTGTCTGCCCGCCTGCTGTTGCTGCGGGTGGATAAAGTAATCAAACGGACCACGCGAAGAATGTGCACATCAGAGTCACCAGGCCTGGCATCTCCTCTGAGATGGGGAAATGGGGAGGTGGGTGAGCAGGGTTTGACTGTGGGTGGATGAACTTGGGGTCCTATGGAAGAAGCTGATCATGGAACGAATTGTCCCTATCATGGCAGGCCTGTGTGACCTTTGAAGATGTGGCCATTTACTTCTCCCAGGAGGAGTGGAGGCTCCTTAATGAGACACAGAGGTTCCTGTATTGTGATGTGATGCTGGAGAACTTTGCACTCACAACGTCCCTGGGTAAGGCCTTCATATTCCTCCCAGTGTCCTCAACTGACCTCTGTGTTTTCCCATCTTTCCCTCTCTCCAGGAGACAGCTCTGTCCATTCCACAGCTGGACCGTGGTCTCTGCTACCTTCCCCCCTCCCTGGCATATATGCTGTTGGTGCCAGTGCTGAGCTGTGTGCACTGCCCCAAGCACTGTGCTCCTGAAGCAGCCCCAACATCTGCTACCCCAAGGCATGCAGGGAAGTGTCTGGGAGTCAGTCTGGCAGTCAGCCTAATAGAGCTCACATTTCCTGCCCTCTCCTTGGCTGGATGACTGTCCATATCTATGACACCCTGTGACCCAGATTCTTCTCTTTTCCTCTTTTTTTTTTTAAATTAAGATATAACTGACATAGGACATATTAGTTTCAGGTGTTTGACATAAAGATTTGATGTTTGTATATACTGCAGAATGCTCACAAAGTCTGGTTAATATCCATCACCATACAGAGTTGCATTTTTTTTCCCCTTGTGATGAGAACTTTTAATTTTAAGACTTCATTGTAACTGCCTATATCAGGAATTCTAGACCTTGTCATGGTCACTATCTATATAGAGGTTTTTCTTGAAAGACCCTGTCTTGAGGTTTCGTTGTAATATTCTTTCCTCTCCTGTGGTCTCTTATTTCCTGAGTTCCTCTGGACCAGCGCTGACATTTCCTGTCTTTCCCTAAGGACATGTTTCATTCAGGTCTCATGTAGTTTCAGAAATGTAACTGGGGGCGGGGGGGATGTGGGGGGAGCCCTGATTTCTTTACAGTATGAACAGGGCAAGATGGTCTCAAAGAAGGCCGGGCTCTAGTGAACGTCAAAGGAGGTGAGGGGATGAAAAGGAGGTTGTGTTTAAATCATACTAGGAACTTACTGTGTGACCACCAGTGTTTTGTTGCGAATGACACTGGACACAGATCATCTCAACACTTTTTTCTGCATACTTGACACTATGTTGATTTGTCATTTCAGTTTCTGACTGTCCCCACCTTTCTGATCTGCCTGCATCACTTTCGTCTCCACTGCACCCTCTGTAGTTCTCCCACAGTGACTTACACTTAATAGACATACCTCAGAGATATTGTGGATTCATTTCCAGATCATTGCAATAAAGTGAATCACACAAGTTTTTTGTTTCCCAGTACATATAGAAGTTATTATACCATCCTTTAGTATATTGTGTGCAATAAAATTATGTCTAAAAAACAGTATACCTACCTTAATTAAAAAGTACTTTTTTGCCAAAAAACCCTAACCATTATTTGAGCCTTCAGTGACTCATAGTTGTCACATCAAAGATCATTGATTCCCAGAGCACCATAACAGCTATAATAACATTGAAATAGTTTGAAAGATTGTGAGAATTACCAGAATGTGACACAGAGACACAAAGTGAGCAAATGCTATAGGGAAATTGGCACCCATAGACTTGCTGGACTTAGCATCGCTACAGACCTTCAATTGGTAAAAAATGCGGTATCTACAAAGGGCAATAGGGCAAAGTGCCATGACAATGAGGTATGTCTGTAAAGTGAGGTATGTGCATATTCTTAAATAGTCCTTGGACCCAGCTGCTCAGTTCCAGTTGTATTTCCATGGGCCTGGACACCGCCATCCTTCTGCGTAGTATGGACATGTTGTCAGCTGACAAGATCTTGCTGAAGGTTGTTGGCAGAGGAGTGAGTCATTGATCTTGCCTCTCTTCCTCATGTGGCATTCATATTTATGCCCTTTGTTCTGGAAAGTCTCCCTTCTGTGATCTTTAGAGGCATGTCACTGCAGAGCAGCCCTCCCTTCAAATCAGTGCCTCATCCTGAGAACATTTACATGGTTTCATTCTCTGGCCTGAATGTATGTGTGTGACATGCCTTTCTGTGGGACTTCCATATCCCACTAAAGCTGACATGCACATTATTAGTGTTTCTCTGCTTTTAGATTTTTGGTGTGAAACAGAGGAGGATGAGGTGATACCTTCTGAGCATAGCCTTTCTGTAGGAGAGTCACAGGTCAGGACTTCTCAGTCAGGTCCATTGACCCAGAAGATTCATCTCTGTGAGAAATGTGTCCCAGTCTTGAAAGATATTTTGCAGCTGACTGAGCTCCAAGCAGCATATCCTGGGCAGACACCATACTTTGGTGGGTGGTCCAGAGGCTTCTGGTTGAACCCAAACCTTCACCAGTAGAAAGTCTTTAAAATGGACATGAACAGGGCCTCGATTGTGACGAGTTGCATTTTCCATGTGTCAGGGAAGCCTTTCCCTAGTGAGGAGAGTGGAAAGGACTTCCTAGCTACCTTGGGCCTTCCTCAGCACCACACCTCTCTCAACAGTGAGAAGCCACCCAGCAGCATTGAGTGTGAGGAGGCCTTGAACAATGGAGAAAGTTATCAGAAGTGGATTGAATGCAAGAAAGTTTTTGGCAACACTCATACACTTCACCACCAGAGAGTTTGCACTGGAGAGGGTCTTGATGCGTGTGACAAATGCAGATACAGATTTGTTCAGCACCAGCAAATTCACATTGGAGAGAGGCCTAATGAGTGTAGTGAATGTGGAAAATTCTTTAGCCATAAAACCCACCTCATTCGACACTGGAGAGTTCACACTGGAGCAAAGCCTTCTGAGTGCAGTGACTGTGGGAGATCATTTGGCCAGAAATCCAATCTCATTCAACACCAAAAGTTCACACTGGAGAAAGGTCTTATGAGTGCAGTGAAGGTGGGAAATCTTTTATCCAGAAATCCATTCTCATTGAACACCAGAGAGTTCACACTAATGAAAGGCCTTATAAATGCAGTGAATGTGGGAAGATGTTTAACCAAAGTTCTGGCCTCCTTTGACACAAAAGAGCTCACACTGGAGCAAGGCCTTATGAGTGTGGTGAATGTGGGAAATCATTTATCAGTAAAACCCATCTCATTCGACATTGGAGAGTTCACACTGGAGTTAGACCTTATGGATGCCTTGAATGTGGAAAATCTTTTAGTGAGAAATCTCTCCTTGTTCAACACCAGAGAGTTCACACTGGAGAAAAGCCTTATGAGTGCAGTGGATGTGGGAAATCCTTTAGTCAGAAATCTGTCCTCATTCAACACCAAAGGGTTCACACTGGAGAAAAGCCTTATGAATGCAGTGAATGAGGAAAATCCTTTAGGCACAAAACCCATCTCATTCGACACTGAACACTGCACACTGTAGCAAGGCCTTTTAAGTGCAATGAATGTGGGAAATATTTTACTCAGCACTATAGTCTCCTTCGACACAGGAGAGCTCATGTGCAGTGAATGCAGCAAGTCCTTTAGCTGCAAATCTAATGTCAGTCAACACCAAAGAATTCACACTGGGAAAAGGCCTTGTATACACATTGAATGTATGTTTTTTCCTTCCTTAGCATAGTTGTGGTGGAGGTAAGCATCTGTGAGGAACCATCCACCTAAGTTAAATCTCATATTGGGATGTCCACAGACTGGAGATTGATTCACTGTAAATTTCACAGTTGTGTGGGAAGTATGTGTAACCTGCCAGGTTCACTGCCAGTTTCTTTGCCAGAAACCATCTCACCTCTAGCATCTGGCATGTCCTGATGGTTGGCATCAGTCACCACCCTGGTGTGTTCAGAGCAACTGGCCTCTGTACTCTCCTCTGTGTTGGAGGAAATTATGAGTATCGTCAGCCCTTAAGAAGTCTTCATTCCCTTTTTTATGACAAGTTAGGGCCTGGACCTGACCCTATGTTGGCTCAAAGACTGCTATCTGAGTCCTTGCAGTGAACTAGCTTTTATAGGGACACAGTTGGTCTCAGGTAGTGCTTGTGATGGAGTTTTCCTGCTTTCAAGTCACCAAACCAGAAATTGCCTACTGCATGTTACTCTGATTTGTACAATAATAAAGGCCTTATTGTTTAAGCACCTTAGTCTTGGAAATGCTCTTCACTGTGTGGAATAGTTTGAAAGCACACTAGGACTGTCAACCTGAGGGGTAAATTACTTTTGTAGTGGAGATCCAAACTTCAGGTGCCCGAGAGGGCCGAATATGGCACTCTTGTTTTGTAGTAGTTTGCATTGCTGCCAAGGCCTCCTAGGAAAGACTACTTTGTATTATACTTTTCTGCCTGGATGCCAGAGGTCTGTGGATTCTATTACGGGAGACAACATGAATTTGTTTTTCCTTGCTTAAAGGAGATAATGCACAGTGTCAAGCTCTGCTGAGGGGAGTCTTAACCCCAGTTCTCCTCCAAAGGAGCCATGTACCCTGATACCCAGAATTCTGTGGGCTAGTGTCCATGGTTGTAAGACTGCAGGGGCAGGGGAGACCACAGTTGGTATGAAAACATTGGTTAGTAGAGAGGGGAGGAGACTGCAGCAGTCTGTGTGGAAGAAGGTACCTCTTCCGAGATACAGCCACAGATGTTCTCCTGACTGACTGCAGGATGAGTATGTCTGGAGATCTCAGGACCTCCAGGTATGTTTATGTTGCGAAGTCATTGGCAGGCAAAATAAGGAGTTGGGATTCTTCTAGCCTTTCTGAGCTGTTCATCTCAAGGCCATTGCTATACAGGCAACAGAAGCAGTGTGGAGAGATACTGTGTCCAGACATGTGATTTTGTGATCCAGTCAGCAGTCCTCTTGACTCAGTGGGAGATGGCCTTCATTTTTTGCCAATACTTCCTGCCACTGAGAAGAGACGCTACCTCAAGTCTTGAGAATCGAGATAGTGGAGTCATTTTCTGAAGAATCGGGCGTTTAGATTTTTATTTGGATTTTTATTATGGAATCAGTTTTTTTTTTTTTTTTCCCCGCCCCTGGAATCAGTTTTTTAACCACTGTGAAGGTATGGAATAACTTGTGAATATTCAAACTGTACAGTTTGAGAGGTTTTTACCTGTATACACTTGTGAAACCATTATTATGATAATGAGTGTACCTGTCAACCTGCATATTTTCCTCATGCTGTTTATAGTCTCCTGACTCGCCCTGGCTGTACAGATAACCATTTATGTACATTACATTACAATCGATTGTATTTTTAGAATTTTATGATTGATCATGAAATGTTTACATCTTTTTCTGATTTCATTGATGCTATATAGTTACTTTGTGATTCATTAATTGTTCATTAAATGTTCATTTAATGAATTAATTGTTCATTAATTCATTAAATTTTCCTTACAAGAACATTGTTATTTCTCAGTACTTTTCTCTTCCATGTATAATTGACTGTTCATCCATTCATCTATTTATGGATATTTGAGTTATTTCTAGTGTTTTCGTGTTGCACAGTCACTCAGTCATGTCCAAATCTTTGTGACCCCATGGACTTGCACTGCCAGGCTTCCCTGTCCTTCACCATCTCCCGGATCTTGCTCAAACTTATGTCCATCAAGTCAGTGATGGCATCCAACCATCTCATCCTCTGTTGTCCCCTTCTCCTCCTGCCGTCTATCTTTCCCAGCATCAGGGTCTTTTCCAATGAGTAGGCTTTTCACATCAGGTGGCCAAAGTATTGGCACTTCAGCTTCAGCAACAGTCCTTGCAATGAATAGTCAGAGTTGATTTCCTTTAGGATTGACTGCTTTGATTTTGCAGTCCAAGGGACTCTCAAGAGACTTCTCCAACACCACAGTTCAAAAGCATCCATTCTTCAGCTCTCAGCCTTATTTGTGATCCAACTCACATCCATACATGACTATTGGAAAAACCATAGCTTTGACTATATGGACCTTTGTTGGCAAAATAATGTCTCTGCTTTTTAACATGCTGTCTAGGTTTTTCTTCCAGGGAGCAAGCATCTTTTAATTTTATGCCTGCAGTCCCTGCCTGCAGTGATTTTGGAGCCCAAGAAAGTAAAGTCTTTCACTGTTTGCATTGTTTCCCCATCTATATGCCATGAAGTAATGGGACTGGATGCCATGATCTTAGTTTTTTGAATGTTGAGTTTTAAGCCAGCTTTTTCACTCTCCTCTTTCGCTTTCATCAAGAGGCTCTTTAGTTCCTTTTTTAGTCCGAGGCAACTGCTCATGTGCCCGCAGCCCAGAAAGTGGGGTCCAGGACGGTGAGATGGTCGTATGTGGACTAACGGACTGTCTATGAGGCATGGGAAGGACTGATGGGCTGTGTCTGATGGACTGTGTGATGGCGAGTGGGAAAGGGACCCACAGGCGCAGAGGCTTGGAGGTTGGACTGTGGCGGCAATGTTAGAAAAAACTGGAATCTGTCGTGTATCTGCATAGAGCAGAGAGTGTGAGGTGGAGTCTCACCTAGACTGTCAAGCTGAGAGTTTTGTGGGCTCAGACAGTAAAGAATCTGCCTGCAATGTGGGAGACCTGAGTTCAATCCCTGGGTGGGAAAAATTCATCAGAGAAGGGAATGGCAACCCACTCTGGTATTCTTGCCTGGAGAATTCCATGGATGGGGGAGTCTGGCAGGCTACAGTCTGTGGGGTCACAAAGAGTCGTACAGGACTGAGCAGTTAACAATTTAACTTTCACTTCTGAGAACCCACTGAGCCATGGAGAGTTGTGAAGAGAAGAAAGACACAGTCTGACTTAGGATTTTGAACATTTTCCAAGAGCTACTCAGAGAACAGACTGAAATGGGAGTGATGCTGGCAGTGAGGTGCAGGGAGGGTGAGTCCTTGTCCAGCATAGCTGCAAAGAGGCAGCTCTGCTGACTGAAGCAGAGAGTTCAGTCTTTTAACCAAAGGTTATCTGGTCTCCAGGGCTGGGGAGAGGTACAGGGGAGGTTTGAACCCTTTGGAATGCACCTCTATGGCTTGCTTCTGCTCACAGATCCCCATGGCTGAAGAATCACTTAATGGAACCTACACAGAGAAGTCAAGGGTGTCCCAGGCCCTCACTGGTTTGGATCTCATTCATAGAACCTGAGATTGTGGTGTCCTAGGACTCTTTGCTTGCCATTTCCCCAGCCTTTGGGTCTGGGGACCTGGGAGAAATCATCTAGACTCCTTCTGAGTCCAGGGCAAAGGATTTTCTGGAGGAATTGTTCTTTCTGCAACCAGTGAGAAAAGGTGTAGAAGATTATCTCGGGAACACCTACCAGCATGTGCAAGTGCTTGGTTGGGTGGCCACAAGCTGGGAACAGGGCACAGATCTTCCTTTTAGGAACAGAGTGTAGGGGGAGAGGAGTCATTCTTGTAATGTGGTTGCCTGTGAAGTTGGGCATCTGCTGTGGAAGTAATGCAGATTTGGAACAGAGGAGGGAGATAACCTTACTTCCAGGCTTCATCTGGTTACAGAGTGGAAAACAGACTTTGGGAGGAGGAAGGCGGACCAGGGAGGAGGCTACTGCAGAAGTCCTGATGCATGGTCACGGACCAGAGTAGTGGCTGTGGAGGTGGAAGAAGTGGTTGGATTCTGGGTTCATTATTTAAGATGGGCTGCCCAGATTTTCTCATTTTGAGGGTGAGAGAGAGAAAGCTAAGAGTCAGGGTTGATGGCAAAGCTTTGGTCTTAGCGACTGAAAGCCTGGAAGCTTCATTAACTTTGAGATGAGATGTTCAGTAGTAAGAGTGATTTTCTGTGGAGATATCAGATGGTTTTTGTTTTTGGCTGGGTTTCCATTCTGAGATTTTTTTTCAGAGAACAAATGAGTGGTGGCATCAGGTGGGCAACTGGACAGAGAAGTCTGGGAATCTGGGGTGCGGTTCAGCATGTGTGTGTGAACTCAACTGCTTCTGACTCTTTGCAACCACACGAACTGTAGCCCTCCAGGCTCCTCTGTCCATGGAATTTTCTAGGCAGGTGTACTGGGGAAGTTGGCTATTTTCTACTCCGAGATCTCTTCAACGAGGGATTGAACCTGTGTCTCGTGCTTGACAGGTGGATTATTTACCACTGAGCCACCTGCTAAGCCTGGTAGAGAGTTATAGGTATCTAAAATTCACTTATGATTCAGTATGACTAATGTTAAAGCGAGAATTAGAGACAGGTAAGAGGTTTTCAAATGGTGTTGGGATCCATGAGAGGTCATGGGTAGAACTAGATACTGTTTGGTTTTGCCCTGTTCTCTGGGGTGAATCCAAGGAGATGACTATGGTGTGGGACAAGGAATTGGTAGTGGCTGCAGGGATGCAGCTGTGGGGTCTGGAGATGTGAGAGAGGTACAAGTGGAGGTAGGAAGCATGAATTGATGGCTCTTGGGCCCTGATATAGGATATATAAGGGTAATGGGTAACTCCACATTTTATTGTGAGGCGTGATATGGAAGATCCCATGGGAATTGCCTGGCAGGAAGGGATGTTTAGTTGCTCAGTCATGTCTGACTCTTTGTAACCCCATGGTCTGTAGCCTGCCAGGCTCCTCTGTCCATGGGATTTTCCAGGCAAGAATATTGGAGAGGGTTACCTTTTCCCTCTCTAGGGGATCTTCCTGACCCAGGGATCAAACCTCATTGTAGGGGGATTCTTTGCTGGCTGAGCCACCAGGGAAGCCCTGGCAGGAAGGGATTGAGTCCTGCAATTCTGTCCCTGAGCATCTCTCCGATGGCATCTCTTTGCCTCCCTGTGTGTAGTTGCTGAGGGCTGGACACAGTGATAAGTGGAACCTTGAGTGGAGAGCAGTACCGGTGGCCTCAGGTTTTGGTATCTCATCTGAAGTGGAGAGCCCGAGAGAAACCTGGGTGTGGGGTAGATGTGTGCAGGATGGATTGTGGATCCTCAGGAGAGAGGACCAGCGGTTTCATCTGTCCCCATCATGACAGGGCAATGTGACTCTGGAGGACATGGCTGTGTACTTTTCCTGGGAGGAATGGAGCCTCCTTAATGAGGCTCAGAGATGCCAGTACCATGACGTGATGCTGCAAGTCTTTGCACTTATATCTTCACTGGGTAAGGCCTGCACAATCACCCCTGTGACCTGGGCTAGACTTTGCCTTTCTGCTTTTTTTTAGGGGCTGCTCTGTCCTTCCTGCATTCAAACCATGGGGATTACTTTTGTTCCTAGTTCCTTGGGTAGATACTGTTGTTGCCAGGGCTGAGTTGTTTGCGCTACCCTTTTCTCTCCTTGGAGCGTCAATACCTGCTGCCCTGAAGCCTAGTAGGAAGCTGAATGGATCCCGTCTTGCTTGTCCTTTCCATGGCTGGATCACTTTGCAGACCCATGATTGCTTGGTTTGGCTCCCTTCTTCTCACAGTTCTTTCATACCTGCCTGTGCTGAGAATTGCCATCACTGAGGTGGGCACTGCTTAGGTGCACAATGAGCTATTTTCCTGATACCCTCATCTGAGGTTCTTTTGTAACATTTAGTTTTCTTTTCTCTGATCAGTCATGGGATAAGTTTCTCTGGGCCGGTACTGGCCATTTACCTGTCTTGCCTTTCCCTCGGGACTTTAGTTTTCTAGGTTCCATGTAGTTGCTCAGCATGGGTTGCGTGGGAGACCTGAGTGTCTCACAGAATGGATATCAGTCCTACCATGGCAAGATGGAATACAGAGGCCTGGGCTAAGGTCGGGCAAGAACATGACATCAGAGTTCACATCTTACCAGGAACCTGTTTAGACTAGTGTTTTGGAGCCATTGCTGGGTACCACACCTCGTTTATATCTTTTGCCTCATTCTTTATACTTGGCCAACTTGTCATTTTAACTCTGACTTTTAGTTCCTGGCTTCACCCAACTTTTCTGCCTCCACCTGTTACCCCTTCCTTTTTACTGCTGCCTCTGTAGGTAGACAGACAACTGTCTTCTCTGAGGATACTGTGGTGACTGATACACGGTATGAGGATCTGTCTGGTGGCAAAGGTGAGATGACTTCCGCCATAAAACCTGGCAGTGACTTAGTTATGGCAAGGGTCCTGAGCAGGGAAATATGAAACACAGCTCCTGAAGATTCCTCACATACCTGGAACCCATGGTAGATGTCTCCTCATAGAGGCCCTCTAGTGTTTTCACACTGAGCAGAGAGCACATTCCTTGAAGGTCAAAGGCCATTACCTCATGTAGATTTTGTCATGCAGAAAGCTTTTTTTTCCACATAAGCAGAATTCCCAAAACTTAAGGCCTGAGTTGAGATTTTGGTGTTCAGTCAGAGCAGATTGTTAACTGAAGGCTTTCTCATGTTGGCTGTACTCTTGAGGCCTTCATCTAGTGTTAAGTTTATGGTACTGAATGAGGTTGTAGTTTTGGCTAAATGATTTTCCACATTCAACTGCATTCATAAGGTTTTTCTCCAATGTGAATTCTCTGATGTAGAGTAAGTCTGAATCTTTCTCTGAAGGATTTCTCACATTCCCTGCACTCATAAGGCCTTGCTCCTGTGTGAACTCTTCGGTGTTGAATGAGGCTGGAGCTTTGGTTAAAAGATTTCTCACATTTGGAGAAGTGGAAGAAAGTCACATAATTTTTTGGTCTCCCAGCTAAAATAAAAGTTATGTTTATACTGTAGCCTATTGTGTGCAATAGCAGTATAATCTGGAAAAAAAGAAAAAAAGGACTATTTTATTTAAAGTATTGGCATACTTTTTATTCAAAAGATATTTTATAAAAAAAAAATGCTAACCATCATCTGAGCCTTCAGTGATAAGTCTCTCTTATCCCTAACACAGCTGAAACTCACAAAAACCACTTAAGGCTTCCGTCTGTAAGTGTTCTTGCAAAAAGGAAATATGAGTGGAGTGTGACTGGACTCAGAGTGACATTTGGTGCGTCCTTTAGGTCTTAGAGCTTTGGGGAATATCTGAGAGGACATTTATAAACGTTTCTTCCATCCCTACAGAGTACACTACATGGTAGCTGGGTGCGGGCTTCTGAAGAGTGAAGCCCCGCCCCACCCTCGGAGCCGCGACGCCCCAGCGCCCCTTGTGATAACAATAGGCGTTAGCCCAGGCCATAAGGGGTCTGCGAGTCGCTGCAACTGTTGTCTCAGCGGAAACTACATTAACCAGAAGCCTCTGCGCCACAGAGCGGCGGCACTGCTAAACGGTGTTTCTGTACGTGCGAGGTCGTCTGGGAGGGACTTCCGGCATCTTTCTCGCGGCGGACATCTTCTCGGTTCTTGGTCGACCTGTCCGAGCAGAAACTCGGGACCTGTGGTCCGGTTCAGAGGGAACAGAAAGCGAGAAGGCGCGGGAGGAGACCCTGTTCTCGCTACAAAGAGGCTCGGCGGCGGCAACTCTCGCGAGGATTCCGCCACCACGCCAATCGACAGCGGTGCGCGGTTCCGACGTGAGATCCTTCCGGACTCTGGGGTCCTGACTGATGGCGGCGGCAGCAGTGGACCCGCGTAGGTGGGTGCTGCGTTCCCCGGATCTTGACGCCTCGCGACCCCCACCTCAGAATCGTAGGACCCTGAATGAGTGGTGTTTATTGAGGTCTTTGTGGTCTAGGCTCCGGAGCGTTTGTGGATGGAGCCACCATTTCTGACGGCTTTTGTATTGGGACGTGGATGAGTGTTACCGGCCCAGCGACTAGCAGGAGCAAAGGCTTGGGACTGCGAATGAGCCGGGAACTTTCGGGAAACGTGGGTGTTCACATCCTCGGGGAGCAGGGCGGGGTGGGGGGTGAGTAGTCGTCTCGTGGAATGGCAGGGTGAGGCCAGTAGGAGAACAACGTTCTCAGCCATGCAGGGATCTGATCTGATCAGAAGTTTTTAAAAGTATGCCAAAGCTTAGGGGAAGACAAACTAGGGTGGGGTGGAGGTGATGAGGATGGAGGCAGGCACACCGGTAAGGAGACTATAAACTCCAGGAATGTTGTTGGGGCTGTTGCAGAACAGTGGCAGGAAGGGTTGGGAGAGGATAAGTCATTAAATTCTGGAGAGATTGTCAAGATAGAACTAAGAGTTTTCTGCTGCGTCAAATATGACTAAGTGAAAAAGAGGGTGAAGAACTACCCAAGTTTTGTTTTGTTTTTTTTTCCTGAACATCTGAGAGAATCAAAGTGGGTAGATTGGAACAGGGAGCACCTTTCGTGGGGGAAGATCAGAACATGGACATGGTAAATCCATAGTGTCTCACAGTAGAGGCGTCACAGGGGCATTTGGTTATGCTGGTCCAGAGTTATGCAGAGCAGGCTACGCTGTAGACCTCTGAGGAATGAGGCCCCAAAGGTCAAAGCCTGGAGATGAGATTTAGGGGGAGAATGTTAAGGATGTTACTTTATGTGGTCCCTGAGGTGAGAGATTAGAGTACAGGGAAGAAGAGGGGGGCATCCCTGAGATTTCCTCCAGAAAGGAGAAGTCCTGGAATATGAATGGGTTCTGGCTGGTGTCAGCAGAAGGAGAAGGCTATAGGGTGTTAGGACCCGACCTGAGTTGGAGAGCAAGGTGTGAGGTGCTATAAATTTGCCACCCTGTGGACTCAGCATGTCCCTCTCTGGCACAGAGGAGGAGTCAGCCAGGCTAGTGGAGCAGCCTCACCCCATTCCAGGGCACTGGTACATCAGTTCCCCAGCTCCTCAGGTGAGAAGAGGTGAAGAGCCAACAGCATGCTCACATACAAGGGATATATACCTGGCAGATTGGTTTGGTGAGAGGACCTAGGGTATCCTTGGCAAGTACACATGAGTAGACAGTTACAAATTAAAGGCTTTAAAAACACAAAACCTATTACTTCATTTGCACCGAAAATATTTGCAAAACTGTTAAGCATATGCAGTAAAAGTTAATTCAGAGGTTGATGTCTACTAAATTGATGTGTACTAACACGTCTGGTACAAACAGCCCTATTAGGTGGATATCACCATTATCCCTGCTTTATATATGAGAATACAGAGAGCTTGGGTTATGGTCACATAGCTGGTAGGAGGCAGCACTAAGGTCTGAGTGTCTAAAGTCAGACATCCTGAAATCATTTTCACCAAAGGGCAGAGCAGGGATGAGGCAAACAGTTAAGTTCATGAGACTCCACTAGGGTAACCTAGCATTCCCAGATCCTTCTTCCTACCAGGTTGCTGTAGTGACAGAAGTGATTATTATCCCTGCATAAATGAGTGTAAAGTGTGCCAGTCCTCAGTCAGCCTAGCCCACCCATCCATGTTCTTGGTGACCTATATGGCAAATAGTGGGGTCTTGGGAATTTTAACCTACCCTTCTGCCTGCCATTGGGTTTGGAGACCCTTGTGTCCCCAAAGGTCTTGTGCTCTGAAAACTGGTCTGGAATTATGTGAAAGGGTCTCCATTTCCAGCAAGCAGTGGGGTGAAGTGTGGAACAGTGTCCCAGGCATGGGAACCAGCCTATGCAGATGCATCACTTAAGACTGAACAGGTTGTGTTCAGGAATTTAAGGTCTCCCATATGTTTGGTGATCAGAGAGCAGGGGACAGGATTCAGCTCTGGACTGGGAACCTTTGGACCTGGGCTTCTCTTTTGAAAGTGGTGGGAGCTATGAAAAGTTTGGAGCAGAGAAGGGAGTGATCTGATTCTGTCCTTAACAGGATATCTCTGGCTGTACAGTGAAGAAGAGACTATGGGGGTATAGGAAAGAGGACTGTTGATGATGACTGGGCCAGAGTGGTGACTACAGAGATGAGAGACAAGTGCTTGGATTCTGGTGGGTTTTGTTTTGTTTTTTGAAGTAGAATCAACCAGATTTTCTGATGTGGAGGGTGTGAGAAAGAACGGGAAGAGTCACAGATGACTCCACAGTTTTTTTTGCCTGAGAAGATGTAAGGGAGAAAAAAGCCTCAACTGAATTTGTGAAGTTGGTGGTGAGAGTAACTTTCAGAAGTAGTATCAGGAGTTAGGTTTTGATCATGTTGAATCTGTGATGTTCCAGAGACTTCTGAATTGAGGTATCAAGTGGACAGCTGGACCCATGGGTATGGAGTTCAGAGGTGGGATTCAAGTTGGAGACATTCACAAGATGACAGCCAGTAACTTATTAGGGTAGAGTCGTGTATCAGGTTTAGAGAGAGAACCTTTATGTCATGGGGGTCTGGAAAGGAGGTGGGGACAGTGGAGTGGAAGTAAGAGTTACCTTCAAGGCAAGAAAAGGGAAGTTAGTGTCCATGGTGAGTAAGGAAAATAGGATGTGGCGGTTGACGTCTTCTAGGGAGAAAGTGGACACGAGATAAATGCTGGGGTAAAGCAGTAAAGGAGACGAGGCGAAAGTGAGACCAAAGTCAGTGCTTATTCCCCCGTCCCTGTGCTCCTCAGGCTTTGTGGTGACCTTTGTGGGCACTGGCAGGTTTCAGTCAAGCTGATTGGTTAGTTCAGGGTTAAATTGGGTTAGCTGACAGAACCGCTGTACTTCGAGTGGAAGGCCAGTGGGTGTGGGCTTTGAATGAGAACTTAGTGGTAAGTGTGAACACTGTGACTGATGAGGGTATAGTATCCCAAACATGCTATAGCAAGGTGGGAAAGGACTGGCTTTATCTGATACTCTGCATATGGTTCTGAACTGCTAAAGGTGAATCAAGGAAGGAAGAATTTAAAAGCTGTGTTTGGATATACCTATGGCAGTGGGGGCCGGAGGTGATCCTGGACTCAGTGACCAAGCATTCTCTGGATGCTGTGTGCAGGTTTATGTCTGGGAGGTACTTGTGTTGTAAGCCTTCTTAGGTAACTTAAGGGAAGTGTGGTCTAAAGAGTGACATGCCCTTTGAGGTGCAATCTGAAGTCACCGCCTTGGGGCTTTGGTACTGAGGGCTCTAGAAGGAATGCGAAGCTCAAATTTGTGTATGAGGGGCATCATCTTTGGATCCCATGGGAACTAGCTGGCAGTGAAGGGTTGGTCCCTTCTTGCCAGGCCCAGACTATACTGTGTCTGTCCGCTTACTTGCTCTAGGATGGACAAGGTGGTTGATGGGAAATGAGAGAGGAGGTGTCAGTCACATGAGGGCCTGCTGTCTTCTTGTGAGTTGGGGAGCCTGGGAAAAACGTGAATGTGTGGCAGATAGGCCAGGAAACCTGGGGAGAGAGGCTGCCCTTTTGCTCAGTTGTCCACTTCATGCAGGAACACGTGAGCTTTGAGGATCTGTGTATTTTTCCTGGGAGCAATGGGGACTTCTTGATAAGGCTCTGACACATTCATATCGCAGTGCAGTGCCTTCTATGCTTCGCTCTTACAGTTTTCCTGGGTAAGGCCCCACATTGCCTAGTTCTGCATGTTCTCCCCTTCCCCCTTTTCCCCTAGAAGTTGTGATTTCCTTCCTGTAAGTGGACCAGGGGCACGCCCTCACACAGATCCTCTGGGTGCCAGGGCTCAACCGTGTATACTGCCTTCTCCACTCCCTGTGCTAACCTGCACCCTCCAGCACTGAAACTATGGGCTTCTAACCACTTGACCACCAGGGAATTCCCTATTGCGTCCCAGCTTCTGTTGCCCCAGAATTGCCGGAAGGTCGAGGGTC